AGTACCAAAAAATACATAGCCATCCAGCAAGGCACGCAAGTTTGTCTCGCTCGAAGTCGAGCAGCTGCTTGAAAATCAAGTCCAGGACCTAATCACTCCCCACTCAAATACAGTATATAGAAAATTGAGCACGCCCTAAACTTTAATGAATCTAGTCAATATAAGAAGTTTACATATTGTTTTTCATCTCATAAAAAAATTCAGCTCCAGTCTCGTGTTAAAATGTCCGAATCGGAAGGGAAGATTCAGGAATTATTTTGCGTCAGCCATGATTTGACGTGAACCTCAAGTGAAATACTGTTATGACACCTGCAAATAAGAGTGAACATTTTTGCTTGCCAGTATAATGCTATTTTCCCGATCTGTAATGAATATTCAATGTAATAAAGCAAGTTTCATAAAAATCCGTCTCAAGGTAGGAAAAATATTGGCGACACTCGGTGACAGGGGTGTTCGCGGTGAACACGGATTTCTAAAAATATGGCATAAGTTGAACTGTATGTAATGATCTTGCGCGTTGAACATTTGTTGTTTTTTCGTCTCAAATTTTTAATTAATGCATACTGATTCACATAAGGATTAAAAATTATTTAAAATATGTTTGCTTTTTATAACAGGGCGAAAGAAGTAGTCTTTGTCATAAGGAAGGGGGGTGGGGTTAAAAAGAGCATTGAAATAATACATATTATTGAAATATCATGACGTTTTCTGCTTAATTACGATTGTTTTGCCTAAATAATTCTTTTTACGAACCAGATTTCTTTATCTGTTACCACTGTGTTCCAAATTAACGGATATTTACACATACTCAGAATTTTTATTTTGCTCCGGGTTTAGTCTAAATTCTTTAAATTTATAGATTTTGAAATTGTTTATGAGTAAATAATGTTAACGAGTGTGATGGCAAGGTATTTGTTAAAGTGTCCTCTAATTTTCATGCATTTCTCTCAACCCGATACATCGAAATCAGGCCCTTTTGTGGTCAAGATAAATTATTTTAGAGGAAATCTGGACTAATTTTCTATGCTCCATTAAACGCGAACGAACAGCAATGACGGCCAAAAAATGCCATTATTTCTCATTTTCCGTCTAAACTCACGAAATTAAACCTTAAATTATAGACTACAATATTTCGAAGTATAAAATCTGCTTTTACTGCAGGTTGCACAACAGTATTAAATTTTCCTATATATTCTTACCAAAAATGCGCAACTTTGAGTAGGTGGTATTAATTGAAAACAAACTTTTGAGAAGTTTCCTTTTCAGATCTTGTAAAACAAAGTCTTTATAAAGATTTTAGTACCAAAAAATACATAGCCATCCAGCAAGGCACGCAAGTTTGTCTCGCTCGAAGTCGAGCAGCTGCTTGAAAATCAAGTCCAGGACCTAATCACTCCCCACTCAAATACAGTATATAGAAAATTGAGCACGCCCTAAACTTTAATGAATCTAGTCAATATAAGAAGTTTACATATTGTTTTTCATCTCATAAAAAAATTCAGCTCCAGTCTCGTGTTAAAATGTCCGAATCGGAAGGGAAGATTCAGGAATTATTTTGCGTCAGCCATGATTTGACGTGAACCTCAAGTGAAATACTGTTATGACACCTGCAAATAAGAGTGAACATTTTTGCTTGCCAGTATAATGCTATTTTCCCGATCTGTAATGAATATTCAATGTAATAAAGCAAGTTTCATAAAAATCCGTCTCAAGGTAGGAAAAATATTGGCGACACTCGGTGACAGGGGTGTTCGCGGTGAACACGGATTTCTAAAAATATGGCAAAAGTTGAACTGTATGTAATGATCTTGCGCGTTGAACATTTGTTGTTTTTTCGTCTCAAATTTTTAATTAATGCATACTGATTCACATAAGGATTAAAAATTATTTAAAATATGTTTGCTTTTTATAACAGGGCGAAAGAAGTAGTCTTTGTCATAAGGAAGGGGGGTGGGGTTAAAAAGAGCATTGAAATAATACATATTATTGAAATATCATGACGTTTTCTGCTTAATTACGATTGTTTTGCCTAAATAATTCTTTTTACGAACCAGATTTCTTTATCTGTTACCACTGTGTTCCAAATTAACGGATATTTACACATATTCAGAATTTTTATTTTGCTCCGGGTTTAGTCTAAATTCTTTAAATTTATAGATTTTGAAATTGTTTATGAGTAAATAATGTTAACGAGTGTGATGGCAAGGTATTTGTTAAAGTGTCCTCTAATTTTCATGCATTTCTCTCAACCCGATACATCGAAATCAGGCCCTTTTGTGGTCAAGATAAATTATTTTAGAGGAAATCTGGACTAATTTTCTATGCTCCATTAAACGCGAACGAACAGCAATGACGGCCAAAAAATGCCATTATTTCTCATTTTCCGTCTAAACTCACGAAATTAAACCTTAAATTATAGACTACAATATTTCGAAGTATAAAATCTGCTTTTACTGCAGGTTGCACAACAGTATTAAATTTTCCTATATATTCTTACCAAAAATGCGCAACTTTGAGTAGGTGGTATTAATTGAAAACAAACTTTTGAGAAGTTTCCTTTTCAGATCTTGTAAAACAAAGTCTTTATAAAGATTTTAGTACCAAAAAATACATAGCCATCCAGCAAGGCACGCAAGTTTGTCTCGCTCGAAGTCGAGCAGCTGCTTGAAAATCAAGTCCAGGACCTAATCACTCCCCACTCAAATACAGTATATAGAAAATTGAGCACGCCCTAAACTTTAATGAATCTAGTCAATATAAGAAGTTTACATATTGTTTTTCATCTCATAAAAAAATTCAGCTCCAGTCTCGTGTTAAAATGTCCGAATCGGAAGGGAAGATTCAGGAATTATTTTGCGTCAGCCATGATTTGACGTGAACCTCAAGTGAAATACTGTTATGACACCTGCATGCACGACCGTCGTGTACTTATGTTCTCATCAGCTATTCGCACGACCGTCGTGTACTTATGTTCTCATCAGCTATTCGCACGACCGTCGTGTACTTATGTTCTCATTAGCTATTCGCACGACCGTCGTGTATATATTTTCAATGACTATTCGCACGACGTTGTATACTGAATGTATCTATTCGCACTGTTAATTCAAAACGCAATGACGTGAATTCACCTTCTAAAAATTAAATTTATCGCTTATAAATATCTGAATAATGAAGAACAAACCCGAGCAATTTTTTTCACAACAAAGTACTAGTATTGGACAGAGTTGTCATATTAAAGCCTTAGTAACAATATTTCTTTAAAAAAATGATAATAATAAAAATGAATTATTAAAGAAATGACTTCACGCCATATTGTTTTTATAAGCAAAGTGGCTTCAAGCCAATATGGTGCAGAATGTCTATAGCTTCAGATATATAAAAATCATATTCAGTTTGTGAATTTAGTATTTAGAGTAAAGTTCTCATTATTGAAACTTATGAAATTATGAGAAAAAACTTGGTAACGCTTAGCAATTAACACCAAACAGTTGCCGATATTTACTTGTATTTACCTGTATTTCCCTAAAGTTTTCCATTTGGTTGTGAGTACTTACACGGTGATAAAAATTGTATGAATCTCGCATTTCACACTGGTGGGTGATAAGTTTTAGATGTTTTAAACGATATGGAAATTGTTCATACAGAAACCAATCGGGGGGGGGGGGGGCAATGAATAATCTACGATGAATTTACTAACAGAAAAGTAAATGTTTGAAAGAATGGTGCTAATGGTTTTAAATTGATGATCTTATCTAGTGTTTTACAAGACTTATTCTACTTAAAATTGGCTAACGGAGGAGGTACCAAAAAAAGTAGCGGAAAAGCTAAAAATTATAATAATCGCGGAAACGCAGTAAAACTTATCGCGGAAAAGTAGGACTTTTTTCGCGGAAAAGCTGTGTCGAATCGCGGAAAAGTGAAACTGCGGTATTTTTATAACGGGCTTGTACATCACAGGTAATAATTTCAGGCAATAAGCTTGAGGAAAATATTTCTGTTCTTTGTTGGGTGTGTAACTTATACATATATAGAGGATATTCAATGTTTTGTAGATGAATATGGAATTTATTTCACGAGTGGGACAGGATTTTTTGATATTTTCACGAGTGCGAAGCACGAGTGAAAATATAAAAAAAATCCTGTCTCACGAGTGAAATAAATTCCATATTCATCTACAAAACATTGAATTTTCTGTTTATTACATTTTCTTTGATATTCCCTTTGCCTCTGTCTTTTCTTAACACAGTGTCATAGCTAGGCTTGATGTCATAATTGAGCGGTTGAGACGTCATAGCTTAGAAGTTGTGTGTCAGATTGAAAACATTACATAGCATGGATTTTAGCAACATATTTAGGAAGAAATTTGCAGTTTTAGCTCTATCAAGATGCTTAGTTACCATCTCTATCTTATGACAGGACAGAAATTATTTTTTACTTACTTTGATATCCTTTCACACTGTGAGAGAATATCATTTTTGGTATTCTTTCACACTGTGAGAGAATATCACTTTTATTCAATAAATAAATCACAGTATTTCACTGTTGAAAATGTAATAAATATATGTACTAAATGACTTAAAAAATATAATTACAACCGATTTCTGGTTATGGAATATTGATATTCAAATACCGATAATCAATAATGATGTAGAATATAGATCTCTGATATTTGTTATGAAATTCATTTAAATATATTTTTTTAAAAATTGATTAAGAATTGAATCCGGTGCTTTTAAAGCTATATATTTATTGATAAAACGCATAAATCAACGAGAAAGTTCAGTTGATCTAAGGAAAGTGTGTCTTTGAACTGAATCTTAGTTCCCTTGCATCTCCCTTAGTTAATCAGTTCCACATAAATTTTATTGTTGGCATTTTCCTCCTTTCTTCTGTCCTCATTATATGTAATTACCGTAAAACATTATGTCCACTACTTATTAACCATTTTGAGAGAAGAAGAAACTGAATTTCAACGGTTGTCATAGTATGATTAACTCATTATGCAGGTGTATAGAGATGATGCGTCTCAGAATCTGAATGCATTCAACATATATCAGGCACATTGTAAATGGGTGGAGTCTGTGTCAATGTCTAAATCACATATGCATACTTAGAGGTTTAAGTAAATCCCCAGCAATTTCAGGAAATTACAATTAAAGAAGAAATCTAAGAATGAATATTAGTACTCCTCCAAAGACGCTGGCTGATTTGGGTAGCCGTTTCACAATTTCACTTGTGACGCCGGTTTATTTTAAAAGAGTTTTTAAGTTCAGCTATCTTGAGTGCTTTTAGCGGGAAAATTTAGATATGTTAAAATGAATGAAGGAGACGAATTCAACTCATTTGAGGAGTTTCAAGACAAACTACTACAATGGTCTGCAACTACAAATGTGATTTGGGTTAAAAGCCACAGCAAAACTGTACAAAGTGCTAACAAGAAACTATCATCTAAATCAAAAGCATTTGACCAAAAATTCAAGTTTAGAAACGTGCTGTACAGGTGTAAACATGGAGGCGCACCAAGAAGATCTGGAAGAGGGTTACGACCAAATCAAAGGTATGTTCACTTTGAATTTATCATGACTTTCGGTAATGACAGTTGTGGTTTGAGTTAGATTACCGCTTAAAAAATTTGATAGAATATAGGGGGTTTTTTTCTAACAAAAATAATATAAGTTCTTAACTCATGTAGGTTTTATTTTATTTAATATTTGGAGAAAAGAACTTCCAAAATCCACCAGGACTTATATCAAAATGGCACCCATTTATTAAAAAAAAAAAAAAAAAAAAAAACCGAACTGGTTTACCGTTAAGGGAAAGATCGAGGTACTCTTGACTTCCTAGACTCTCCCACCCCCTTTCCTGAAACGGTAAAATGTTTTTTTCGTGTTTAATTACTGCGTGTGTCAGAGGTCAAAGGGGGGAGGGTAGTGGTGTACATGTACCTTGTATTAATGTTAAACATACGTTCAATATAATATTGAGATAAAAAGGAAGATATTGTCATAATATGCACAATGTTCAAGCACCTGAATTACGGAATAAGTATGGAAATAAAAAAATTACTCCAGTTTAACTTTATTGATTGTCTCTACTTATAAATACAGGTTCGGTATTTATAATTTAAAAAAATCAATAAAACTTGACATACTTAAGTGATTTCATATATCCAGTTTTTGATACAGTAAAATACTAGTATATTCAATGAAGTATAAAATCCAGATTCTCAAGACTTGATTGATTGATTCATTCATCTATTTATTTATTTTGCTTGTCAAAAATACAATACAGATTTAGGTAGTTAGACAGAACTATGCAATCAAACAAAAAAGGACACTAATTGTTAAAAGTTCAAGAAAATTAACATTTATTTATTCTCAAGTAAACGGTATATGTACGTCACTATCGTGAACTTATTTTTGTTCATGTTTATTTTTCTTACAAACAATAAAAACTTATAACACACGGAATCACAAGAAAATATAATTGTACCCATTAAATTGTTTTTTTTTAAATTGACGTCTTATAAAGTATATCAAGTATATCATATCTACAACATGAAATAAATGCATTGTATAAATTAGTTAAATTGACGAGTTTGCGAAGCAAACAAGTCTCCGCCCATTTGATTACCCACGATAAAATTTACTTTAACTGACTTGTATCAAAAGCCAATCAGACAGCTCGGAAAATTGCGTCCATTTTTCTTCCCAAAGACAGCCCCCTAAGCATCTTTTATTCCGTAATAAAGCCCGCCAAATTATCGGGGATTTCCGCAACAAAGCCCGCGAAAGTCGAAATCTTTTCCCGTTACTGCAGCAGAAATTTGTTGTTGCTACAATAGACTTTCAGAATATTGTCCGTAAATATTCTTTAAACGTTATTTAAAGACTGACTTGTAGATAATATTTCTCATAAAACTGCATTTTTTAAGAGTGTCGTCGATTAATATTCAATCTGTATTTGATAATAATTTGTCATCATTGCAATCATTTTCAACTACAGATTGAAAATTAATCAACGACAAAAGCATGCATGAAGTCCTTTAGGATCTTAACAAGTTGTCTGAAACAGGCACGTAGTATTTGTATTGTACATTTGTTTGTTGTACATCACGTGTTTATGTATACGTCAATTTGTTTGTGTTGGAGAGGACAATCTAAGTTGGTAAAACTTGTGTCCAATCCTGTTGATTATGTTTCAATAAAATATGTTTAAATACAAATACTTGGTCTATCAATGCATCTTAGCCATGTTATAGGTAGTGGTTAGCTTATAGGTAGATAACGTGTCGCATCCTACTTAAAGGTCACTGTGACCTTTAATTAAAGTGAAATTTAAAATAAAAACTATATATTTTTTTTTAACTTTAAAATTACACAAAGCCAACAGATGTAAGAGTATTGCAGTAACCTTATAAAAAAAAATGTTAAATCAAGAAAATACATGTACACATTTTTTTTCCCATGATATACTTTTCAGCAACCCATAACAAATGTAATGATTTCTTTGTGTCAATAACAGAAGGAATTCCACTTCTCCCATGGGGTAATTAATATCAAGAAATGATCAAGGAGAATTTGGATAAAAGAAAATTGCATGTCAAATTAGAGATTTATTAATAAGTTTAGAGTAAGGAGATTTTTGGTAGAGCATCTAGCTCTTATCAAGCAGGCGTTATCTTGGGAATTTGACAGAGAAAGTCTAACCTCTAATTGCAATTGATAGTTTGTCTGAAATGAACTGAATTTTATTAATATCTTCACAATTTTAAAATTGTATACAAAGATAAACATAAATCATGGTGACAAATTAAAAAAAAAAGTTTTATAGCATGCCTGAGTATGAGAATAGACAAATAGTACAATTATAGATATATGTATATTATATTCTAGTTCGGGAAGCACATTTTAGTAATGTTGTTAACAAATGTACACAGTTTTTTTTATACCTCCCACAAACGAATTTTTTTTTTTTGGGGGGGGGGGGGGGGTATATTGGAATCAGCATGTCCGTCAAATTTCAAATGTTAGTTCGTTTTTGCATATTCTGAAGTTTAGATTCTTTGAAAAATTTTGAAGGTCTGAATACCATTTTTGTTTAAATTGTTTTAGTAAAGTGAGTTTAAAGGTCTGACTTTGCCAAATATTTGAAAGTCTGCAACTGTTTAGAATATTCAAGACATTATTTATCCAAGCAATCTTCTCGTCATTTCATTTAAAATATCACTTAATTTGAAAAGTGGACTTGTTTTTCTTTCTTTTCTAAGTTTGTTTATACCAAATTGAAATAATATGCGTTTGTATTTCTAAGGAAATAGGATGCCAACCGAGTTCACAATATATGATAGTCAGGAGTAGATTGTTTATAAGGTTCAGAAGTAATTTACTAAATTTTAGCTGCACTCTGTCTACAACTGCATAGTTCGAAAATCCCCATATTTCACATCCGTACAGCAATATAGGCTGAACAATTTTATCAAATAGATTTAACTGACAGGCACTAAGCATCAGAAGGGGGGGGGAGGGTACACCCCCCCCTTTTTTTCCAGACATAACTTTTTACTATTGAATATGTTCATTGAAAGGCCGATTGCACCCCCCCCCCCCCCCAAGTCATACCTTACTATTTCATATAACATGACACATTTAATTTTTATGTTTATTTCAAATGTCCTTTAAGTGTTGAATAAATGGTATAATCTAATTATATATGAATGTACTGAACATTAATGTGATCAATTCAACCTGGATATGATTTTAATTTGCAGTTCCTTCAAGCAAGAATGCAAGGCAAGACTTTTCCTCTCTATCAACAAGGATAAGACAAAGCTTGTGGTTCAGACTTTGATTACTGCTCATAACCATGAAGTTAGCAAGTAAGTGACTGCCTCAAATTTTATCTAATTTTGATTTTATCAAATCAATATATTTGTGTGTTCTCAATAAAAATTATATTTCATACAGTTTATTAATTTTGGTATCACTTACGACAAATTGCTGAACAAGTTTGAATTTTCAATCAAACGGAATGAATAAAAAGCTCTCTATCCAATATATATATATATATATATATATATATATATATATATATATATATATATATATATATATATATATATATATAGTGTGTGTGTGTGTGTGTGTATTGGATGTGTCTGTGTGTACATGTATTTTAAAATATATTTAAAATTTGCATTCAGAGATGCTTTTAAGCACTATCCAGAACAAAGGCGGCTAAGTGAAGTGAAGAAAAGAGAAGTAGAAACTATGCTTCAGCTAGGTGTAAAAGTCAAGTATCTAAAAGAGCATGTGGAAAAACAGCAGAATCAAATAATCACTCTTAAGGACCTTCACAACATACATCAAAAGGCCAAAAGAGAAAGAACAGGGGAAAAGTCAGAGGAAGAATTACTGATGGATGAATTACACCAGCTTTGTAAGTATATAAAGTCATTAAAGAATTACAATGTATGTAATCGATTGTAATACAATGTACCTAAATATTGTTAACTGATCTCAATAATACTACTTAGATAAAAAACATGCAGTCTGATGAAAGAATTTAGAAACAGCAGAGAGAAAAGTAGATGAACATAAATTAGTCCAAGGGGATTAATCATTTTGTCTGATGTTAGAAGACATTGAAACAGATTGTTAGATATGTTGCCTGACTTAAATGATATGTTAATTTATTGACCCCTGGTGACTTTAAATTGATTGATTAATGTGATCCTGATTAAGGAGGAGGGAGATTAAATGTATGGAATTTGTGCTCCTAAAACAAATAATCAAATATAGTTTTTTTTGTTTTGTTTTTTTTTAAAATTCCCTTTAAGTAGTACTTTTATTTCTTAATAAATTCCAGGTGAAGATGACCCTGATGCTGTCATATCAGTTCAAACTAATAGTGAGGGGGTATTGGAGTTTCTTCTTCTGGTAACAGGGGATATGAAACAGACATTTGCCATGTTTCCAGAGGTTCTGATGATTGACTGCACTTACTGCACAAACAGGTTGAGAATGCCTTTATTTACCCTACTAGTTGAAGATGGAAATGGGAGTGGCCAAACTGTGGGATATGCCTTTATTACTAATGAAACCGAGAACACCCTCTCAGCTGTCATGACAGAAATGTCAAGAATTCACAAATTATCAAAAGTTAAAGTTGTTGTATTAGATAAAGATATGAAAGAAATTGCTGCAGTCAAAAAAGTCATACCAGGGGCAGATGTTCAATTATGTAAATTCCATGTCATTCAGGCTGTAGATAGATTCATTAATAAATTAACAATACCTCAAGAAACAAAAGTTGATCTTAAAAAATCTTTCCAAGCACTTGTATTTTCCAAATCAAAGTCCGCTTTCGACAGATCATTAGGTCACTTGGCAGCCACTGCACCTGAGAACTTCATGGCATATTACAACAAGAATTGGGGAAAGCAACATCAAATACAGCATTGGGCATACTACAAAACCATAAAGCAAATTAATTTGGGAAACACGACAAATAATAGAATTGAGTCTCATAATCAAAAAATCAAAGATGTCCTAAAGCGCAACATGACTCTCCCTGAAGCAGTTAAGAACATCATACTACTGCACACTGGAAGAGTACATGAAATGGCCCACAGAGAGTTCAATCACACATTTAAAACTGCATACCGTCTCGGAGATGATGATGTTGTCAAAGATGATATTGTAAAGCAGATAACACCTTATGCAGCAGGTATCATCATAGCAGAATTGGAGAAAGCTCGTTTCAGCACATCCAAGAACAACAAAATATGCACATGTCCTCTCAAAACAACAATGCTATTGCCATGTAGACATATTTTTGCTAATAGGATTGAGCAAGGGGAGAGTCTTTTTCATATCCAAGATGTTGGAGAGAGATGGCATCTGGCATTCCAGAAAAAAATATGGACTAACAGAAAACGGCCAAGGACAACATCACCTGAGAATAAATTATCTTTAAGAAAAAGGTTTAAGAAGAATCCTTCAACCAAAACCCAAAAGTTTAAGGAAATTATGGTCCTGTGCAAAGCAATGGCTGATTTTGCTTCGTCGCTGGGGACAAGTGATTTTAATGAAAAGATGGACACTTTAACTAAGATGTATGATGCTTGGCTAAGTGGGGGAAAAGTCATCTTTACAACAGGTGAAGTAGATCTAGATGAACCATATCCTTTTGTGAAGACACCAGAAACACCAGTCATGTCTCCATCTCCAACTAGCAAGAACAATATGGTTCCCTCACCTTGTTCCAGTGAGAGTACAATGTATAAGGGATTGGTCTTCACCATTACCCCCATTAGTTCTTGCATCTCCACTTCTACATGAAGATAAACAAAGAGAATTGACACCCATATCTTCACCATCCTCTTTTGGAATGTACACACCAGATGGAAATGTAACACCTTTGCCTTCACCATCCTCGTCTGGAATGTACACACGAGATGGAATTGTAACACCTTTGCCTTCACCATCCGCTTATGGAATGTACACACCAGATGGAAGTGTAACACCTTTGCCTTCACCATCCGCTTTTGGAATGTACACACCAGATGGAAATGTAACACCCTTGCCTTCACCATCCGCTTATGGAATGTACACACCAGATGGAAATGTAACACCTTTGCCTTCACCATCCGCTTATGGAATGTACACACCAGATGGAAATGTAACACCTTTGCCTTCACCATCCGCTTATGGAATGTACACACCAGATGGAAATGTAACACCTTTGCCTTCACCATCCCCTTTCGAAACATACACACCAGATGGAAATGTAACACCCTTGCCTTCACCATCCTCTTTTGAACCTGACACTCTAGAGGAAGTTCCATTGACAAATCCATCACCATTAGTTACCCCCCAGAAAAAAGAAAATAAAGAAAGAACAGAGAAATTATCACCAATATTCTCTGCTTCAAAGATTACAAAAGATGATTTGCAGACATCAGTATGCAGTACTGGGAGAGCCACTAAAGTATTGCAGGATTTCAAGACTCTAAAACTGCCAAAAACACCCCCTGTAAGAGGAAATGTAAGGTTCAAAAAAGGGAAAGAAAATGTGTTCCAATCAAGACAGAGATTATTGAAAAAAAAAGAATTAAGGGGACAAGAGGAAAAGAAGAAAAAGAAGAAAGAAAATCTGAAAAGAGCAACCAAACTGGATGAAATGGAATTAATTAGAAACCCAAGGGAGATGTTAACTGACATCCAGATCAATGCTGCTCAAAAATTATTGGCAGAGCAGTTCCCTAAGGTGCATGGACTGCAGGACACAATTTTGGGCAGTAAACTTCAGTTTTCAGTTGAAACTGGTGATTTTGTGCAGATCCTTCATGATGGTGCATTGCACTGGTTAACAGTATCCAACCTATTCTGCAATGACAATTGCGTTGATATCTTTGATTCCCTTTATACATCAGTCTCAATGGAAGTTAAAATGCAAGCGGCATGCATAATGATGATTCAAGAACAAACTATGACCATAAATGTTGTTAACTGCAGACGCCAAAAAGGAGGATATGACTGTGGATTATTTGCAATAGCGTATGCCACAGATCTCTGCTTTGGGAATGACCCTGGTAGAAAAATTTATTTTCAAGATCAGATAAGAGATCATTTGCTGTCTTGTTTGGCAGAGAATAAGTTGCGTCCTTTTCCAGCTGAAGAAAGAGATGTGCAGAGAAGGGTGACGAAGTCATTTAAAGTCCCACTTTACTGCATTTGCAGGCTTCCTGACAACAAAGAAGAAAAAATGGGAGAATGTGATAAATGCAAAGAATGGTATCACAAGTCCTGCATCTCGATACCTAAACATTTATTTGAAGATGGAAAAATGAGTTCTTGGTATTGCACAAAGTGTAACATCTGATTCCAATGAGACCAAATAAACTTTTTTGCACAATTTAGGACAGATGATACAAATAAAATAAATGGATGCCTGGATTGGTATATATTTTTGGGCCTATTTTTGATGCAATGATGCAAATAATAAAATTCTAAAATATTAAGAAATTATAAACCTTCTATCATGACGATGTTCAAATTTCTACTTTCTGCAACCATCCTTATTAATCTATAATACAATTTTTTTTCACGTCAAACCCTGTTATTGTGAAACTTAAATAAAAAGTTAAAAACTATGTGGTAAAACTTGTTCATTTTACTCATATAAACATGACTTAAGTTGTTATTTTCAAATTTTTTGACAAAAGTTTGTTTGTGTCATCTGTCCTTAAGAGCTAATATCTTAATTGCAATAATTATTAATAAGTTGGGATAGTGCATTTATTGTTTTTTTTTTTTTTTTGTATAATTGCTCAAAATTTGAGTTCTAGTCAAGCACTTATTAATTTGTTAGTATCTTTCTAGTCCAAAACATCTGATGTTTTCCAGGCGTTTTTCTCCATTTTGATATTTTACGTGCCTGGTACAAAAATATCAAAATCGTGAAAAATGCCTGGAAAACGTCAGATATATTGAACTAGTATCTTTCTAGTTATTATTTAGTATTGTAGCAGTCCAGTGCTTTGACAGATTGGTTTGATCCTGATATTATTGTTGACATATTTTGTAGGAAAGTTGAGATGAATTTGTATATGTGTTATATTTACTTTACATTGCAGGAATATGTACAATTTATGCTTTTCATGTAGTTGATAGGTGATTATTGACAAATTTAAGTGAATTGCATGAGTTGAAATAGTTTGTGCACGTTTTGAGTTATGTAGAACAGGAGAAATCAGCTGATCATAGCTGTAGTAAAGTTGTGGTGTTTTTAGCTTACTTGATGAGTCAGGGTCTTTTAATTGGTCTTCTGTAATAAATAAACCATAGCTTTATTGATGAAGTCATTTTTTCTTGTACTTTAACTTGTTTTCAGTTGTTGTAAAGTTCACTGTAACGACATTGTTTACATTTGGTGGTCGTAAATTGTGAGAGGTCAAGCCCGATCGTAAAAGTTACGATAGTTTAGGATTTTTGGAGTTATCCGGTGTTATTTGTTGTATCAAATGAAGAATAATTTACTTATTTTAATTTAAGAATGTGATTCAGAATAGTTGTCTTGTATGTATTGTTATATTTTTCTATAGACTTTGTCGCTTAAGGGAGATGTCACGAGAGATTCTCTAACATTTTCCAGCGTTTCCAACATTTTCCATATTCTATATCAGGTTTTGTATAAATAGGAGAGATTCAGTGAATTTTTGCTCTTCTACTAGGATCGCATCTATAGAGAAGCTGTGTGTTAGGAGTAAGAAGAGTCAGGGATATTTTAAGTACATTTTAGGAAATTTTTGAATATTTATGGAATTATATAGGAAGTTTTGGTCAATTTTTGGTCTGGGATTGTAGAGAGGAGAGGAGAGGAGAGACCCATCGCTGTGACCGTTACAGTATTTTACAGTAGATAATACCTCATAGAATTGCTATTTTCCTTTATCCTCAAATTTTTTTTGCGCATTGTCTCTTGATCACATGCATTAAAAGATTTTTTTATGTATACCATAAACAGAAGTTTATGTGTGGGTTAAAATAAACAGATTGATCCATTTCTAAAACATTTACTGTATGTGTAAATTACGAATTTTTGTTACCCTTTCACCATTGTTCAAATTAAATGCTAAAGTCTTTATGATTTTGGACCATATATCTTACTGTACATGTCTGTTAACCCTAACACTAACAGTTCAGCCAAAATGTGCACGTCATTTACTGACATATTTTAATTATTTGACCAAGATATCATACTTGACGCTCTTTTGTAAACAAATGTTTATATTCCTAATTTATCTTTAACTTCTAAAAGTGAAATGTATAGTGGATTTGTTTTATATTTAAACTCTTTTGTCATTTGTGTAATTTGTTCTTGAATTTTTTTTTATTACAATTACAGTTGTACATGTATATGAGGAACACACGGTAGTTGCAACATACTTTTGATGCATCAATTATAAATGATTACCGATTAATTTGTAATCTGTTGACCAAGTATTAAGTCTTACAAACTGTGTGTTTCTATTTTAGCTTATATATATATATATATATATATATATATATATATATATATAGAATGGTAGATTATTTTTACCAATGCAGATAGGCGATTGCAAGTTTTTGTTGTTTTTTTTAAATTAAAAACAGTCGCTTCAAATAAATATAATCAATATAATAATTAATATTGTATGAAACAATAAATTGCTTACATTATTTTCTATTTTTTTTTAAAAAAGTGTTATTAATAACTCCATTTATTAGAAACAAACAAACATACAAACTGCCCAGGTACTATATCAATTCAAACGAATTCTGATCGGGATCGGATCGCTTAAATTATCGATTGTTTTTTCCCCTTATTTTTCTTTATTTAATGTGTTTAAATGCACCCTTTAAAATATATTAAATTGTTTAAATTGAAATTCCGTTCATAAATGCATATATTCATCTAAAGTATTTAAACGTCAAAAAATTAACATTCATGTTTTTTTGCAGGCTCAAATTAAAATTATAAGTGATCGTGTAAACAATGTCGTGTCTTCAAGAATTCACACGACGGTCTTGTATATTTATTATGGTTTGTGTATTAGCGATCGTGTACATATCTCTAGCAATGTGCGATAGCTATTTGCACGACGATCGTGTAAATAGATTTTTACTTAATATCTATTTGCATGGTCGTGTATATATCTCTGCAATTTGCAATAGCTATTTGCACGACGGTCGTGTAAATAGACTTTCCTTACTATGCGCACGACGGTCGTGTATCTATCACGGTCATACTAAAATACGCCTGCCGACGCCTGCCAGGGGAAAAAACGCCTGCCGAGAAAATCTATACGCCTGTCGTGTTATTTATTGACGAAATTTATATTTTATTAGATATATTACTTTAATAAACCATTTACTTGATGTTTTACCAAACAAAAATAATTTTAAAAGAATAATTTGGAGTTTTTCATTCGTATTCTAGTATGCATACACCGTAGAGCACGCCTGCCGAGAAAATCTACACGCCCGCGGTGTTGTTTCTCTAATTACGTACTATTTTATATAATGTAATACTTTAATAAAGTCTTTGGTTGACATTTAACTAAAAACAAAAGAAAGAAAGAAATATTTGATTTAATAAAATCTACACAAGACTTTGCAGTAATATTAAAGGAGATAACTCTTACTTCACAATACTTATATATGAATAATATTTTCCGTTCGTCTTAGAAGACTAAGAATTACTTTTATATAGGATGAAGTTGATGTATGTAAAACAAATGATTTTTTTTTCTTAAAGTTAAATATATGATTTTATGTAATTTTGAAATTTACGTATA